CACTGACCACTGACAGGCAGAGGTCAGTTAACAGAGTCAATATCAGCTGACTGGAAGAATCTAAAGCCATGTTAAAACTCCATGTACCATGTGAGCTGGATTTAGTCCTCTACTTCTGAGTGTGTGTGTGTGTGTGTGTGTGTGTGTGTGTGTGTGTGTGTGTGTGTGTGTGTGTGTGCGTGTACCGGGGCAGTAGCAGCGCAGCACTCCGGGTTGGATCAGTGACGCAGGGACGGTACTCTGATCGAAGACACACGAGTATCGACCCGACAGCTCACTCCACGGCCCTGTTATCAATACCTTCACACCCCCCCTGCACAGACAGACAGACAGTCAGTCAGACTCAGACAGAGAGAGAGACAGACAGTCAGACAAACAGACAGACAGACAGACAGACAGACATAAAAAGTGACATTTCCTGGAGAAACTAACAGCAGACTTCAGTGTTTGATAGATAATCAATATCTGTCTGTATTAATATTTACATATATCATTATTTAATATTCAGATATAATCTAAACTAACTTACTGAGCAGCTGTTTGTGTTTAGGAAACATTTAACACAGAATATCTTTAAAAAAAAGAAGGATTTATATGAAGTCATTAATATTCCTGAGCTCTGGTATTGACTCTGGTATTGAACAGAGTGCGGCGCCCCCTGGTGGACAGACGCTCATACTGCAGCTCAGTCAAACACTTAACTGACCCTAGATCTGATTCTGATTCCTCAAATGATCTTTTATACATTTGCTTTTATTGATGGGTCAGCTGAAGAGAGAGAGAGTCCCGTCTGCTCTCCGTTATATATGATTGTTCTACTTCAGACCCAGGAAGTGTTTCTCAGACTGCTCCAGGAGGATGTGTGTGTGGAACAGCTCCTCAAACAGTAGAACATCTCCGTCACTCCGACTGCTTCATTTAATATGACTGGAGCTTAAACCTCGCTGTCAGTCACGTTCATTTAACGGTGGGAAGATTTACGGTGCAGCCATATTGAAGTAATGGAGTAAAAGTAGCAGAAATATTATGTAATCCTATATTTACTTTATGTACTTGAGTAAAAAAGAATACTAAATATCTGTAAGTAACTAAAGCTGTTAAATAAATATAGTAATTAAAGTGTCAGATGATGTCAGAAATTGTTTGTACTGTGAAAACAAAATATCTCCTAAAAAGTTATTAATTCAAAATATCTTTTAACTGTTTGTGTCAAATTCTAAAATTAAAATGAATGAGTAAATGTACTCAGTTACTCTCAGAGTTACCTCGGGGTACGACCACTCGGGGGAGAAGTCTGTGATGGAGGCGAGGCGGGTGGAGGAGGACGAGGGCAGCGGGTGAGGAAAGGGAAGGAAGGAGGAGGAGGGCGAGGGCTGCGGGGGCACCATGTAGCGGACCCCCGCCGGGAACACGGGCGGGTTGGGCGTATTGGCGGCGGCGGAGGAGGCGGGGTGAGCGGTGACGGGGTTGGCCTCCTCCGTGATGAGGTCAGAGATGAGGTCAGGGAACTGGCTGTCGAAGGAGATGTCGAGCTCCTCCCCTCCGCGCTCGCAGGGCTCCGCCTCCTGCTCCTCCAGGTGCGTGTCCATGCAGGTCTCCTCCGAGTCGTAGCCCCGCCTACTCTCCTCCTTCACCTGGATGGTCGTCACCACGTGCGAGGTATCCATGGCGACAACTGCTGGGCCGCTCCCCGGGCCGACGGACGCCACATTAGCTTTAGCAAACACCGGCTGACTCTGCTGCAGCAGCAGGGGCTGATGGGACAGCTGAGCGAGGGGCGGAGCTTCAGGCGCAGACAGGTGGGTGTAGGGCGGTCCCAAGACCAACGGCTGCTGCCCGTCGCCCGGTCGCTTCGTCTGATTGGGCAGCTGGGCGGGTTGGATCGTCGAGTCCTGACAAACCAGGAGCAGAGACGCCATGCTGCTTCCCGTCTGTTGCCGTGGAGACAAGCTGGAGGAGGCGTGGTTTGTCTAACAGAAGAGCGGATGCAGAAAATAGTCCCACATTAGGACATTAACAGACACTATAATAACGCACTGTCCCTTTAAGGTCTCACCTGCAGCAGAGCCAGCTTGGTGGGAGGAGCACTGCCTTCATCATCATCATCATCATCATCATCATCATCATCGTCTTTCCTGTCTTTCACCTCCTCTTCATCTCCCCCCGCAGACTCCCGCCCTCCCGCCGACTCCCCCAGAGCTCCCAGCTCCAGGCAGAGGGGGAGGAGGGGCGGAGCCACGGAGGAGGAGGGAGACAGGGAGAGTGAGGGAGGGAGGGAGGATGAGGGCGGGGAGGAGGAGGAGGAGGAAGAGAGGGGGTGGGTGGAGTCTCGCCTGTCCGCCTCAGAGGAGGAGGAGAGCGAGGAGGGAGGGGAGACTGAGGAGGGAGGGGTGGAGGTGGGGGGGAGAGGGAGAGAGCGAGCGATGGGGGAGAGAGGGGGATGAGGAGCAGAGGACGGGGGAGGGAGTGGAGGAGGGGGGAGGCGGGCCACCGTACGTCTGACCCTGTTTGGGGGAGTTGAGGAAGGAGTCGGGGTCAAAGGCTGGCGGGAGGGATGAGGGAGGCGGGGGTGGTGAAGGGGAGGAAGGGGGAGAGGGAGGGGAGGCGGCAGCAGCAGGGGGAGGGGAACAGATGGAGGAGGAGGTGTTGGAGGAGGAGGGGGTGAGGAGCAGGCCTCCGATGACTGGGGAGGGGAGGAGGGTGAGGGAAAGGGTGGCCACCCCTGGCGCCGGGACAGGAGGAGGCGGGAGAGAGGGAGGAGCGGGTGAGGAGGAGGAGGGAGGGGAGGGGGAGGAAGGTGCAGGAGCAGGGAGGGCGGGTGAGAGGAGTAACTGTCCCGAGTGAGTGAGTGACAGGCTCCTCCCTGGCCCCGCCTCCTCTCCTCTGGCCCCACCTCCCGTTCCTCCCCCGGCGCCTCCTGCGATGGTTGTCGCCATGACGATGACGGCGTTCTGCGGCAGCGCTACCGTGGTCAGGTTGGCGCGGTGGTCGTAGAAGCCGTTGCTGTGGTTACCCATGGTGATGGTGGCCCTGTGAGACTGTGGGGGAGACGAGGCCGAGCTGCGGGAGGACAGAGGGAGAGAGAGAAACGGGTGAGACGTCTCCTCCGGGTTCCCGTACCGTCACAGCACACCTGGGGGGGGGGGCACTTACGTGGACGAGGGGCAGGGAGACGACACAGGGCTGCTCTGAGCCTGCAGGTGGGGCAGTTTGGCTTCTCCTCCCCCTCCTCCTCCTCTCCCTGCCTCCCCCGTCTCAGAGGAGAGCGGAGAGGGGGAGGGTCTGCAGGAGGAGGGAGGCAGTTTGGGGGAGATGATGCGATGCTTGGTGCTGTTACAGCGGTGGGGAATGTTCACCCCTGAAGATACTGCAGACAGACAGACAGACAGACAGACAGAGTGAGGTCAGAGTGAGGTCAGAGTGAGGTCAGAGTGAGGTCAGAGTGAGGCGTTACCCTGGGCAGTGTTACAGAGGCAGGCGTGTGTGCGCGGCTGTGGTTTGGTTCTCTGTCGGTCCAGAATGTGCTGAACCAACTCCTCGATACTGAAATCACCAGAACCCACCGAACACTTGATACTGTGAACTGAGAGAACACTGAATATTAATACTAATATTAACATTAACACTAATATTAACACTAATATTAACATTAACACTAATATTAACACTAATATTAACATTAACACTAATATTAACACTAATATCAGCACTAATAATAACACTAATATTAACATTAACACTAATATTAACAGTAACAATAACACAATATTAACAGAAAATAACACTAATATTAACATTAACACTAATATTAAAGTAATAATAACACTAATATTAACATTAACACTAATATTAACACTAATATTAACATTAACACTAATATTAACACTAATATCGACTAATAATAACACTAATATTAACATTAACACTAATATTAACACTAATATCAGCACTAATAATAACACTAATATTAACATTAACACTAATATTAACAGTAACAATAACACTAATATTAACAGTAATAATAACACTAATATTAACATTAACACTAATATTAACAGTAATAATAACACTAATATTAACATTAACACTAATATTAACAGTAATAATAACACTAATATTAACAGTAATAATAACACTAATATTAACATTAACACTAATATTAACAGTAATATTAGCACTAATAATAACACTAATATTAACATTAACACTAATATTAACACTAATATTAACAGTAACATTAACACTAATAATAACACTAATATTAACAGTAATAATAACACTAATATTAACAGTAATAATAACACTAATATTAACAGTAATAATAACACTAATATTAACAGTAATAATAATATTAACACTAATAATAACACTAATATTAACAGTAATAACACTAATATTAACAGTAATAATAACAGTAATATTAAAACTAATAATAACAGTAATAATAACAGTAATAATAACACTAATATACATAACACTAATATTAACAGTAATAATAACACTAATATTAACAGTAATAATAATATTAACATTAACATTAACACTAATATTAACAGTAATATTAGCACTAATAATAACACTAATATTAACATTAACACTAATATTAACACTAATATTAACAGTAATAATAACACTAATAATAACATTAACACTAATATTAACAGTAATAATAACACTAATATTAACAGTAATAACACTAATATTAACAGTAATAATAACACTAATATTAACAGTAATAACACTAATATTAACAGTAACATTAACACTAATAATAACACTAATATTAACAGTAATACATAATATTAACAGTAATAATAACACTAATATTAACAGTAATAATAATATTAACAGTAATAATAACACTAATATTAACAGTAATAATAACACTAATATTAACAGTAACACTAATATTAACAGTAATAATAACACTAGTATTAGCCCTATATACAGACACTGGTAGGTATGAGGTCGTCTCTTACACATGGGCTTCAGCTGGTTCA